GATTAAAATGGCTAACAGCAATATCAACAAATTAATATTTATATTTACATGTGTGGATTTTAAAAAACGTCTGTACAAGCAGAAAATGCAAATGTTTCTGGACATTTTCCCACTAAAACTAGTCTTCCAGTCATTCTTTAACAAATTCACCATGTTAATTTATTGTTTAATATTATAGATCTGTTTCTGTATGTTCTGGAATCTTCCCATTTAGAACAGATTTTTATTGTAATTTTGCCTAAGAAGAAAGCTCACAACTCAATTCTCTTAAAAGCTAAATTCAAGAAATCCTGACTGTCTGCACTGTTGTTATAAACTTCTAGAGTTCTGGTAAGTGGAACCATTCCAGGCTAGCTGCATTGCTTCCAAGATGCAAACATAATAGATTCCTGAACTTGGCACATCTCCAAGTAAATGAAAACAAGATCCTACTGTTTAAAGACAAATAATCTGAAGAGCATTCCATCTTTGAAAGGAAAGGAAGCTTCAATGGAAAAGAAAACCATACTCAAGTCCATATGTAAGTTACAGTAAAACATCAATCAAGCACAGAGATTGAAATGCTATTTTGTACAAGATATAATGCTTTCTGTGGCCTTGGATAATATTCACATTAAGAAAACAGGACGCGGGCTAACATTTTGCAAGAGGAAATGCTGTTTGGAAGACAAAGGAAAGGAAGTCAAAGTGTACAGTACACTTACTAATAATTGCAAATGTATATGCTGAGCAATATTACCTAATTAAGCAATTAATAAGTAAATCATGTTCATTGGAATTGTTGTAATAGAATGTGAAGATAGTTAAGAATATGTTATATTTAGATATGGATCTTCTTCTGCCAGTTATTGCAATAGATGCAATAATCTTTAAGAAAGCATGTTTCATTCATTAAGTACAATTCAGAACAGATATCTGAATTTTAAGGCAAAAATTACTGTATTAATGTATCTTCTTTGCAACTTATTAAACCAAAGTTGCATTAACAGCTAAATTATCTTGTAACTCATAATTCTTTCCCATTAATTTCTTTTTTAAGTGTAATTATACTGACCTTTGATAAAGATGCATTTCTGATTACAATTACATGTCTGCTCCACTTTAAGAGCATCTCCACAAGACTTTCATCATAGATTGATTTTATATGAGTCATTAAAATAGCTGAAATTTCTGAGGCAGTTTCAAAAACTGCATGCTTAGTTTAATTGAGATACTTTTTTCAAATCCTTTGCAAAGTCATAAGAAAAAGTGAGCCATGACTTAAGATGTTGTGGTGGACAATGTCAAACATTTTGAGGGAATTTTTTAAATAGGCTGGTTCATTCTGAGCTGAAAAGAAATTTACATTTTTCTCTCCTGCCATTAAAATATCTCTATGTTTATGAAAATTCATGGACCTTGTAGATCAGTGGTTCTCAACCTTTTTAATGCCGCGACCTCCAACCGGTCGTAAGTTGAGGACTACTCAACCGGTCTTAAGTCGAAGACTACTCAACTGGTGCAGTACCGTTTGCAGACTGGGACTTTTGGTTGGCTCAGCAGGGCAGAGACAGCCTGGACAATTCCTATTGGGTTTTGAGAGCCAATAGAATTAGACTCTATTCAAGAGAGTCTATTCTATTGGCTTTCAAAAGCCAATAGAATAAAAGGGAGTAGCACAGCTAAGGAAAAGGGGGAAAAATGGTGGACTGCGTTGTTTGGCGACCCCCGTGAAATGGTTGTTTGACCCCAAATGGGATCCCGACCCACAGATTGAGAACCACTGTTGTAGATTATATCATGGAAACTATGGAATGCTATTTCTTCTTTTTTCAACTGCCTTGAGAAATTTCTAAAAAGATAAAATGTTTTTCTAAAGACTGATTCAGCATACAACAAGGAATAGTCACTTCCTGAAAGCTCAACCTATAAACTTCTAAATAATGAATGAATTAATAAATAAATACTCCAGAAACATGTTCATAAGACAACAGTACAGAACAAAACTAACCTTGAAGTAAAACTAGGGAACTGCCAAACTTGAATAGCAAACATGCAGCGCGTGCAAGGAAACCTAACAATCTTTCTGATTTGGATGATTTCTACAAGTAAAAGTGTGGGATTAAAAAGCAAGAGTAAAGACTATTACTGGCTACAGGAAATGTTTAGAAGCTGCAATTTCTTCCAAAGGAAATGTTACAAAACACTGACTGAAAGGTGTCTAAACTTTGGGCATCTGCCATTTTCACTAGTTTCTTATTTTGAACCTGTAAACAATTGAATGTAAGAATGCATTTAAATTTGTGGAACAATGTTACGTATAGCTTTTTGCCATGTTGAGATTGTGTAAGGTTTTGGTTCAAACATACAATTTGAAAAAGTTTTCATAGTATGCTAACGTTAACATTATTAAGTATACATGCTGTCTAGAGATAATTACTTTTATTGATACAAGGATATTCAATATAGTATGTTCTAAATTTAGTCAACATCTTCAATGGTTACTGGAAAAATCTATAATCATACTTAGTAAGCTATTTCTACGATAAAATGAGGGACCATAAATTTATTATATCTGAAGATTTCAACTTATATTGAATGTTTGTATTCACAAACCAGCAAAGACTTATCAACCAGTGTTATACAGTTTTCAATTATCAGAAAAAATAACTATAATAAAAAGGAAATTGTTCTGGTTTCAGTAATAGAAATTCATATTAAGTGCATTATTTTATTTACCCAATTTCTCTTCCATTACAATCTACACAAAACTATTGATAATACATATTACAAGTCACTTACATTGGAGTAATAAGAATTATTAGTGAGGGGAAGAGTGGGAATGTGTTTTTAAGGAACAATAATTATAGTACTGTAATAAAAATGTTTCAGGAAAAATGACAAAGAATGGAACAGCCCTAAGTCATATTGACATATATCAAATCAATCTTAATGCCATGTTTGACAAATTGTCAATGGTGCAATTCTATATAGAATGAATTACATGCAGTGATGCATCCATCCTTGACCATTTTGAACGCTCAATGGTTTTTAATATCATCAAACATGGTATCCTTTTGTACTGGCTTAGAAGACAAGAGTGGTGAGGACAGTGTGTACGTTATTCTGTTCTAGGATTGTTTGTTGTTGTTGGTGGTGGTAGTCTAAATCAAGCCCTGGGGCTCCTATGATTTTGTGGGGTTCTATCCTCTCCTCATTCTTATTTAACTTATAAATAAAAACACCTGTCATCATGGGTATTATTGGTGCACTGATAATATTCACCTGTACATCTCTACCTCTCAATGACCATCTTTGCCCCCTCACTGATCAAGTGATGATGTTGTCAAGGTTCTTTATCAGTGTCTGCATATTGTGGGTGGAGAGAACAGGCTTTAATCTAATCCTAGAAAGACCAAGTTAATAGGGTTTTTAAGGACCCTGGTCCTGAGGCCTTTCCTTTTTTAGTTTTGGATAGAATGACACTTTCCCAGACAGTGCTGCAGTACAGTTGAGGGAGTCCTCTGGGCTTTTGGATTCTGTGAGACAGGTGGCAATTATGATCATGAATCCGAACTTCACCCTGCATACAACAGGACCCATTCCTGGAGGGGGAGGATCTGCTTATGCTTTAGTCATCTCATTATGGACTACTGCAACACATTCTACAAGGACTGCCCTTAAAGACAACTCAGAAGTTGCAACTGGCTCAGAATACATTTGTGTGGGAAGATATGAGTATACTTTTGTACTCCTACTTTGCAAACTGGTTTCTACTAAGTGGACATGCACCTGGTCCTTCTATTAAACAATGCCATTTAATGGAAGACTGATTTTTCTATTACAATAACTGCCTTATAGAACAACTTAACTATCAAAATCCAGATGGGTCAAATCCTCTTTATCTTTCAAAAGGCACTGACAATATGGATGCTGTGGGCATTGGGTTAGGGCATTGAGCAAACTTATTTTTTTAAAAAAAGATATTTTATGAAGGGGGATGTTAGTTTTCATTTGTTATTTGTCTCGGTGGTGTTTGCTTTTTTTTTAGAAATAGATCCTTTTGTTGTGGTTTTAAAATCTGTTTTAAGTTACACAGAATCATATTGAATTGAACAGCTATATAAATTGAATAATAAATAAAGTGCTGTATAGTTTGTAAGCAGGCCAAGAGGCTAGAAAAGATCAATTTATATTCCAATTCCCCAAAAAATGATCAAACTATCAAATATTTTTTGATATATTGTTTTCTTTTTCTTTTTTTATTTGTGAACTGTCTGGAGGTATATGCAATTGGATAGCCTCAAAACTGAAATAAGCAATTGAATAAATGAAATAAGTTTCATAAGAAGCAGAGGCATCTAACATAACATGGCTTTCTTCTGATGGATGTTGAAAAGGGCAAAGGAATTTCAGAAAGATGTGTACTTGGGATTCTAAATAGCCTTTAAGAAATGGGTGGATCAACACCTCTTCTGCCTTCTAAAGAACGTGTATGGTGGCCAAGAAGCAAGAGTTGGAACAGAAGATGGAAATGTGAAAAATGACCTGAGAAAAAGTGCAACATTGGTCGATGATGGAGGACCTCAATCCTCTAGCCAAGCTCTTCCCCTTCTGTAACTCGTGGCCATAGTAGCTTTGAGACATATGACCAGAGAATGAGGCATCAGGAAAAATAAATCTTGAAATTTAAAAATCAGGTTTATAAAAATAAGAAACAAAGAAGCAAGTTTAGTTTAACTTGGATAGTTAATTTCCAAAACCTTTAAAATGGAATGGAATAAAGTATTTATCTCTGGTAAAAATAATAATAAAAAAAATCCACAGCTTTTCACTGCCCTTGCTTCCCTTCTCTCCTACCACACAAATGAACTGATGCAGAATAAGTAAGAATAACCGCATCTTAAGAGCTTCTACAATTATTAAGAATTTAGCTTTTATATGCAATAAATTCACTATTTAAAAATTGCAAATAAAGTTAACTTTATATTATTATTATTATCAGTAGTAATTTTTCTTACCTGTTTTCCATCCAATGTGCAAATTCTCTTGACAATGCCTGAATCTAACTTAATAGCTTCTGTTATATCAGTCAACACTTGGTCAAAGGAATGAGCAGTTTTTTTATTCAACAAAATTCTCACAGCTTTTCGTGGCTTCACTCCACTGCGTATAACAGTTACCAGTTTAGGTTTAATGAAGTCTTTGCTCTCCTTTATTTCACTTTTTGCAGATATTAAGGATGTGAAGGATCGAGATGACCCAGATTTTATGTTGACAGACCAATTTGGATTAACATTCTTAATGTAATCAACTTTCCGAAATGGCTCATTGGAAGCGCATACATAACTTTCACCTAGGGTGGAGGAAAAAAAGAGAAGTAAAGAAGATGTTATTTCTTTTGTTCTCACTTGATATGCTTTCAATAATCAATTATTTATATGTTTGTATATGTCATTGGAGTATCTGCAAATGCTTAATTTTTGAAATAGATAAAGAAAAATATTAATAAAACTATGGCATTCAAGGAAAACCTTCTGGGTTAAGTTAGTAATATCAAGCCCAGCATTTTTTCTTAGAATAATAAATATATATCATTAGGAAGGTGACAAAGAGAGCATTAAGGAAAGAGATCTTGCATTTTGTTAAAGCCAGGAACTAATATTCAATAGTCTGCTGTCTTTTATATTGGGCTATTAGTCCTTGGTACTAAGAACTAAAATTTACACGACATTCATATTTGAAACAAAAACAATGCAATGGTTTCTCCAGTTTTATGGATTTGGCAGGCACTGATGTTAAATATTCAAGAAATTATTTCCTATTTATGAATACTCTTAATGTTTTCCATGTCAATCCTAGCAATTTCAGACATACATATACCCTCACAATAATGAACCTGAATATAGAGGTTTCATTCTCCATTATGTTCCCTCCAGTAAAACCACATAGAAAACAGTTTGGAACCAGACTTATTAGGATTCCAAAAGGCCATAGGAGCTTGCTTTTCCATAGGGCATAAGTAGCACCTTGTATTGGTGTTCATAACTGATTATGTAGCTGGAATACAAGACACTCACACTTGCTTACAATCGGAATGGTATATGCATCTTTTTAAAACTAACAAATGACATTCAGTTTTAACAAACAGCACAGACCTATAAATTCTATTTTATTAAAGTAGCTAGTGATTAGCCAGCATTTTGTAAAAGAAGAGGCAGAATTTATTAGCAAAATTCCTAGCCATGACAGCCAATCAAAATAATACAGAAGCACTGGATTTACAGTTCTTGCTAGTAAGTTCCTTCCATCCAAAGGAATCTAAAGCAGGGATCCCCAACCCCCAGTCAGTGGACCAGCACCAGGCTACAGCATGCCAGTGGACCAGCACCAGGCTACAGCATGTGCAAACAAGCAAAACCCCGTCCGCGGGCAGCACACAAAACTATGCCCCCTCTGGTCCGCAGAAAAATATTTCTCTATGGAACCGGTCCCTGGTGCCCAAAAGGTTGGGGGCCTTTGATCTAAAGGATAAATTAGGAATATAGAATCAGTATAATAATGTAAGGATACTACTGTAAGTTATCTAGATAATACATTAATATAAACCAAAAGTGCTTAAATTGTATGCCATTATTCTGGGAGGGCAGCCACTTGGGATAAAAGTTGCAAAAAAGAAACACTATCAAAATTCTCTCTGCCTTGCCCTATAAATGATACTGTCAGTGTCACTTCCTCTAAGCCCCATCAGAGCACTGGAAGTAATCCATTGTCAAGGACAATGCAGCACTAATTTGGAGCTTGAAGAATAGGTAAGTGGCCTGGTCTTTTACTCAACTGGAAACAACCATTTTTTTTTCTTTTCATATTTAACCATATCATTGCATTATATTCAATCAACATAAGCAATACTACAGGCTGTTTGGTAGAAAAAAATGTTCTTTCTCAATGAAACTGATACTTCACTCCTTATTCAAGGCCCATCCAAGTCCTCATCTGATTCTCATTTCACCAATATTTTCAAATAAAATTTCAAATTACATGTTTGTTATAGACCTCCTTGATAGCCCAAAGAGGAATTGGGTGTAATTTTTCTTCCACAGCACAGCACTTTTTAAATAAGAGAATTTATGCAGACAGAACATACTACATGGATATGGAAGGAAACCTGACAGTGGCCAGCATGAGCTCTTCCTTCCTTTGTTTTTTCCCCCAGGATCTTAAGGCAGTCAGAAAAGCATCGCACCACACCTGGTATCCAATTATAAAAGGAAAATGATGAGAGCACCAGATTGTCTCTGCGTAGGCATGTTTGGAGAAAGATTTGTGTTGTGTGAGAGAACAGAAAGAAAGGGAGAAGATGTAGCCAACAGAGTGAAACAGCTGTCAGCTCAACAGGCAACTGACAGTAAAGGAAGAGAAAGCTTAAAGTTCACCAAACCAGCAGCATACAAGGTGAAGGGAAAAGTGGAGCCCAACAGCTTTACCACTCCAGCAGCTGGTACAGAATTTTCCTTTTTCTCACCTCTGCACAGGCTGAGAAATTGCCAAGCCAACGTTTAGAACAGCATGCGACAGCAACAAAGGTCAACTAGAATGTGGTTAAATGATGGCTATATTGGTATAAATTCAATCAACAGAATTGTTATAGATTATTTATAGGAATAAGACACAGACATAGCTGTTGCTATATGTGGTGGTCTCCCATGGAGAATGAGACACGCACGCAAGTATCTCGGGATGGGAGCCCAGAGCTGACTCCAACACCCTCTTTTATTGTTACTAAGGTTTTTACATCACACAGCGTAATCAAAAGACGTATATAGGGGTGGTTACAATGTATCGCATAACAGACACTCTCCAGATGCAAGGCTACGCAGGTGTTCTTATCAGACTCTGTCCAAATGGCTGATGAATGTATCCTGTGTCTGGAGCAGTCCGTTTGTTATCTCAAGGACCTTGTGGGAGATGTCTATGGGCATATTTGTGCAATTAATCCCATATCTTCTGCTTTTGTGTTTTTTTAATATTACTCACTTCCAGTTCCAGAAGGGATCTTGATTCACTAATTAAGGCGTCCTTCCTAGTGGAGGGCGTAACATTTCTGCACATTTGCAGGAGGGAGGGAATACATTGAATGCAACAACATAGCAATACAATTAATATCAAAATGGTTACTATAATAGAAATCAAAGATCGTAGCCAGGATCCATCCGGTAGCCAGAACCAAAGGGCACCCCAAATATCCACGGTGCCTGATCCATCACTGCGTAAGGGATTATTTTGTAGCATAAATTCCATTTTCCTGGCTGTAGCAGGAATATTAGGTTGAAAATCATGTATATACATACAACAATAAGAATGAATTAAGGCACATACACCGCCTTTTGCTGCTAAAATAATATCTAAAGCATACCGATTTTGCAAAACTACTTCCCTTATTTCCCCCATTTCTTGATTAATCATTTTAATGCTGTTAATTGTTTCATTAAACATATGAACAGTCCAATTATTAAGCAAATGAAGGTCCCTATAGTTCATGGCAACTCCTAGATTGGGTAATATTCCTCTGCTGATTTGAGTCTCTAAACTACCACCCAATGTTAGGGGTGGATCCGAGGAACTAGTATCACATTTGTTCCGCAGGCGTCCATCAGGGAGATGAGGCAAAGCATATACAGCAGGGGTCAAAAGGCCCAGTGTACAGGTGCCTTTCCAATCCTTAGGCACCTGGCAATAGGCTCTACGGCCACATAATAGCCACATATCGGGTAACTCATAATAACCCTGGTGAGACTCATTAGCAAATGTTATTATGGATTCCATGTCAAGGCAAGCCATGTAGGTACTGATGTTTGTCCATTGATTGCTTCGATAAGTGTCATTTATCTTAGTAAGGTTGCTTTTGATGGATTTGCATTTCTTTGCTGAATTCCATATAATAACTTGTTGACAATTACTATAAGTTCCCAAATAAATGGCAGTACGGAATAGTCCTGTGCTATAAAAACAAAATCTGGCAGGTTCCATTATACGAGCGCCCACAGCATATGTCATATTCAATGTCTCTGTAGTTATGTTCCACAGCTGCTTCCATCCTGTTTCATTGAACGGGATGGCATGGAAAATAAGGCCACCACGACTGTCACCAGGAATTTGCATGCAAATCCAACAGTTCGTGACGTTAAGTGTAAGAGCAGTGCGCCTGGCATCCCGTACAAAAGCATTAAAAGCCCACAGTCCCTGATCCTCATATGCCTGGCTGAGGTGGTGTACGTTGAGCCATATAAGGATGAACACAACGAGCTGGAGTCCAAATGATCTCGCCATGGTCGTCTATTGCAGCATAGCCTCGACCCCAGGTAATGAGGGAGGCAGGCCCTTTCCAGGTGGGATCAGGCAAACGTCGATAGTATACCTGGGGGCGTGAAGAATCTGTGGGAGAAGCAGAAAAATGCCTGCTTGCGGCAGTTGAGCCAGGGGTGCCAGAAACATTCAAAAAGTTTAAGGTAAAAAGTACAAGATTAAGAGTGTTTTGTATCCCAGGCAAGCCGGGGGTATTTTCCCCTTTCTTTTTTGCATGCATGTCTAGAGCCCTTTTTACGGTCTGATTGGCTCGTTCCACGATCACTTGACCAGTGGAGTTATATGGAATGCCAAATTTATGAACAATAGACCAGCAAGAGCAAAACTGCGCAAAGGAGATGCTGGTATAAGCAGGAGCGTTGTCAGTTTTAATTTCTTTTGGATTGCCCAGGGTAGAAAAGGTACGAATACAATGATTAATAACATGTTTAGCAGACTCACCCCTTTGAGGGGTGGCCATAATAAAGCCTGAATAGGTGTCAATGGAAACATGCCAATATTTCCAGGGGGCAAATGGCAAATTTTGCCTAACATCCATTTGCCAAAGTTGACAGCTCTGCGTCCCTCTTGGGTTGACCCCTTGGGGAACAGAGTGTGCTTGGAGGCTGCAGGTGGGACATTGTTGAATGATAGCCGCAGCCTCCGTAGCTGTTAAAGAAAATTGTTTCATTAAAGCCTTCTTATTTTGATGAAAATATGAATGGCTGTCCCATGGGGTTATGGGAGATAAAACAAGGACAGAAACGTCCTGGTGAGTGGAGGCGGCCGAAGCGGCAGCATCCGCCTTGGCATTGCCTTCGGAGATAATACCAGGGAAAGGTTGGTGACTTCTAATATGAGCAGGAAACAAACAAGTAGAGCGGGAATGAAGAAGGGATTGGAGTGTGAGAAATAGACTGAGGAGAGAGTCATCCAATGAGGGTGACACATATGAATCAGATAAAGAAGTGAGAACTTTTTTTTTTTATTAAAAGTTTTATAAGTTTTACA